TCTTGTGACCTTCAACTAAATTACAAAGGTAGTCACAATTACCATGTTTTGTTTTACCTAGAAGTTGAAAGGGCGAGGCAAAGACAGAATTGTGTGCATGTATATGCGTGTGTGTGTGTGTGTGTGTGTGTGTAACACAGTAAAGGAAAGTACATGGGCAGTGTGGGGGTGAGAGCACCCAGTCCACATTTTCCTGCATTCCCATACGCTTTTAGCCTTTACTGGGGTTAGACAGAGCCATATAATTATTTGTGGACTGCAGGCCATGTGAGCTGCAGTGGCAAGTCTCACTTCTACCTCAGTCATAGGGTAGCTGGTGTGGGTTCTCCGTGTTCCTCCTCCTTTCCCTCTGCAAGAAGCCACAGCTGCGGCCTGAAGAGCCTGTCAGGCAGCGGTCCTGGGCCACTGCCTCCCTCCCCTGCACTGCCACTGCCACCAGCCAAGCGATGTTTTCAACCATTGAGATTTTCAGGTTAATGAGTTATCCCAACAAAATCTGGTCTATCCTGACAGGGAAGATGTTATAGATCTCGCATCCGCTATTGACCAGGAGGTGCAGCTTTCTTCATTTACTACCTATTTTAATGTTTCCTTTTCCCTCAGCCAACTTTCAGCTGAGTAGAATTCTTCACCTGGTGAGATGGAGCAAACTGTCATTGCTGAGAGGTCTAAGTCTGTACTGGGTTGCTGCGTTGTTCTATTAATATTTACCAGTATAAAATGCCAGGGAAGTATGAAAAATTACCCCAGAGGATTAACTGGGTTCTAGATATAGTCTTCCTCCTCTGCTTTGCATACCAGCAAACTGTTTCCTCGTGATAACTAGGATGAATCATGTTAACCAATTCAGTACCCTCCTTCTAATCTCAAAAGTACCATATGGCCGTCCTAACTTCCAGTTTAATGAGATAGTTTTTGTGTCTTCTGGGGGAAGTTGTCTTTCACGAATGAATTCCTGTAGATAGTTAGCAAAGCATGAAGTCATGGAAAAACCAAAGTTCATTATTAGGCCTAATCATGAGAGATGCCATTTCTGTTCCAGCATGTTGGTTCTGAATCTATATAATCTTCTGAGGAGGAGTAGGCGTAGCATATTGGCCAAACAGTTTAGAGGACATTACATGTATTATAGATATCACCTCAGACTTATAAAGGGGCTGTTCCCAAACCAGTATCAATTCTGAGCCTCCATCAGTTCACTGTTCTTTTACTTCTTAGTGACGGAGTACATGGTGACAGCAGGGAATCTCACGTTTCCACTTATCGCCTCGTATGTTTTGCATTAAAATAAGTTACCTGGTCAGAGCGATGCTATGTGGGATGACATGGTGGTGAATAAAGGATTCAGGAAGTCCACAGGTGGAGCTACACCTTGAAGGGGTGCCAGCATCTGAAAGAGCTTTCCTGCAGCCCCATCACATTGCAGAAGGCAGGAGAGGAGGAGAGCAAGGGGAGGACTCACGCTTTTATAAGGGCAGTAATCCCACCCAGAGGGTGGACCCTCATGGCCTAATCACCTCTACTGGCAATTAGGTTTCAAGGTGAGTTCTGAAGGGGCAAACATTAACACATTGGTGGCTACACTAGAAAAAAATTGTTTCCCTTGGGGCCACAGTGTTTTATTACGCAAATAGAATAAAAACTTCGGAAACAAAATGATCCTTTCTAATTCAAAGACATATTTGTTATTTTTCATTGTTTTCTGTGTGTGAATTATATGCAGACTTGCAAAATAGTTCTCACAGTTCACAAGGTAAAGAGATGTGTGAGTTACATATGCTCAAAACTAGCATAAGTTAAATAAAACTCACATGGTAGTTGATGTGTCACACCCTAGCATGTCCTTATTTTTATAAATTTTTAATTGCAGTAAAATACACATAATATAGCAGTCCTCCAGATCATGCCCTACCCATGGGCGTGAAAAAGTTTGCAAGATGACAATGACCTTGCACTAACCAGTCTGTCTATATGCTGATGAGGGAGCCCAAGCTAGAACTGCATGGCCATGTCACTGTCAAATTCCTAACCTATAGATCAGGGGTCCTCAAACTTTTTAAACAGGGGGCCAGTTAACTATCCCTCAGACCGTTGGAGGGCCAGACTATAGTTTTAAAAAAACTATGAACAAATTCCTATGCACACTGCACATATCTTATTTTGAAGTAAAAAAACAAACGGGCAAAAACACCCACATGTGACATGCGGGCCGTAGTAGTTTCAGGATGCCTGCTATAGATGATGTATTTAAAAGACCATAAATTATTTCTGTTGTTCGAAGCCACAAAATTTTAGGGTTATTTGTTATATAGCACTAGATAACTTAAAAAATCCATCATGTTTAGTATTCTATCTTTATAATAATTATGTGAGTTGGCCAAACTACAGTCATGCCTGTTTGGAAGATTTGGGGACTTAGGAATTCAGGGAATGATGAAATTCTCAATGATAAAGTAGGTGAGAAAAACAAAAGCTCAGTGTGCTTCTCATGTCAATGAATTTCTCAGAGTGTTGTTTTTGTTTGTGTGTATTTACTTCTCCATTTGTGTAACTCCAACATTTTATATCAAGACAAAGAACTAGTGGGCATAAGAAGGGCATGACAGTCAAGTTTCTTCAAAAAAGCGCAGTGAAGATTATTGGAATTCACCTAGCATCATCCTCTCATCCTGCACGCCCTCCGGTAGCAGTCATCAGCTCCCCAGCCACAGGGCTCCATACACGGTCTGCACTGGGACATCTTTCCGTGGCCATGCAAGGTCTAACACTAAGTCCACGAGAGGTATTCCAGAGGGTTCCAGAGTAGAACTGCTGGAGCAGATCCATTTGCATCTTCAGCCATGAAGCTAGAAGGTCCAGAACAAAGTGACCATGCCACGAGGGACAGCCTTTCTCCTATTGTGGAGTATGACTGACAGCCAAGGAGCAGCAGACCCAAAAACAAATAATCTGGTCCTCAGAGTCAAAGTCCTTTGAAATCTCCTAGATCCAGCCTTCCCGTGTTTGGTAGCATGCACAAAAATGTCCCCCTCTACGGCTTAAGCACTACTATCGCTTTTAATCAACATTCTGAAATAAAACACATATCTTCTGTATGTAGAAATATTCCCTCAAACCAGTCATGGTGAGAAGAGCTTTCATAAAGGTAATGCCATTTAACCCTAGTGACAACTTTGCAAAGTGAGTTTTACTGTTACATAGTAACAACAAAGCACAATAAATACTGTTATGTAGTTAGGTACACCTGACTAAAAATGTTGAAGAAGCTTGCCACGCACTTGGTACTTAGTCGAGCCAGATTGTAAACATGGACAGCTCTGACTTGGATGCCTGTGACTTGAACATAATAACAGCAATTTGTTCTGAGTCCGAAGCATCTACACAGTTAAAATACTGGAAGTATAAACTATGAAGTGTATACTAAGCTTTAGAAGAATGCTTTATAATCAGTGTACACATGCAAGTTTTTTTAAAGAAGATCTGTTGGAGACATTGGTTATGCTTTGTGTTCACCAAACACGTAAGTTCTACATGATATCCAAAGAAATTTCTCCCACAACTTCCCAAGCTCAGAATCCAAAGCAAGTAACCGTATGTATAATAACATTTTGAAAACGGCCCAATTCTCCAAGGTGCTGGATGACCCAAGGCAAAAAGAAAATGATGAAAGTAAGTGCTGGGATTCACATGCATTAATAAAATCAAATATTTCTAAAACATTCCTCTGTCTTCCCAAATATTTTTCTTTTATTGTATTTCATTGCTGTTTATATTTTCTTAAAAGTTTTTTACAACCATATCTCTACAGCCAGAGAAATGAAAAGCCATATTTCCTGTTGTTTTATTCCTTTTGTTTTTCCAAATCTTCACAACCTCGGTGTATTAGTAAATCCTCATTTCAGAAAATTCCAGTGAAAATAATATTGCCATAACTACCAGTTAAACAACACATTAAATCAGGAAATAGTAGTGAGTTTGGGGAATAAAGTAACATGATAAGGAAGAAGTCTGGAAGAAAATAGGGCGGATTCATCATTGTTCTTTCAATGAATGGTCCCTTTGACATTTGCTACCATTTTAGGGAAACTTAAAAAAATAAATAAAACTCAATCACCAAATTTTGCAAAATGGGTCTGAGCTCTTTCTGAGGTCAGAATTACCTTCTCCTTTACTCTCCCCAGCCTTATGTTTTCTGTTTATTTCCTTTTAACTTTTTCTCTCATCACAAATCAAACATGCCAAAATACTGTTACAGTTTATTATCACTTTATTTGAGAAAATAAACTGTTTAGCAAGTGCTGAAAATAACTTTCAAAGACCTTCAAGTATTTTGCAAGACCCCTGCTCCTTTAATTTAGAAAATCAATATTTTAAGGAAATTTTAATGTTCCTTATTGATTTATGTTTAAAACATTAAATAGCATTCTTTTGCGAGGGTCATTTGATATATTGAGCTCTATATTCATTTTCTCTGAAGCCTGTTTTTCATCTTTAAGCATTGCTTGCTGCCTTGAAGGAACAGGAAAGCGTACGACACATTTTGTCAGAAATGCCAAGCCTGGACATTCTAAATTAGTTATAAACTAGTAAGACTCTGCTTTAAACCTTAACAGACTTACAAAAAACAAGAGAAGGCAGGATATAGCATAATGACTTTGGGAAAAAGAAAAGCATTTTAATACCAAGGAGTTTCTACTATTTAAAACTTTACCTTTGCAGGAAGCTGTCTAGGCTAGTTACAGTATTTAGCCAAGTTTACAACTGGGAGTAATTTTAAAAGCGACTTTGGAAGTCACTTATGTATGTAGCATGAAGGAATCTACGTCTCCACACCTACTCAGCGTGCACACCTGTCACCACCAGTCTGAAAAAATATTCTTATCATACCAAACAGGGTACACAAACAGGGAAGCTTACACAAATATGCCCTCATTCCTCAGTCCCAGGCAATCATTCATTCTTTGAAAGCTGAAGAAAATTTTTCCATTTTTATTTCCTAGGATGAACATAAAATATCCCATCTCAGGTAGAAGTGGAAGTGGAAGTCTCTAAATCCCAAAAGAGCACCTCCAGCCAAGCAAGCAAGAGAATAGTTTTTGCTCTTATCCCACACAATTCTGATCCACCTGGGAGCCCAGTGGACATCAGTCCACGAGTGGATTCTTACATTGATTATGACTCCAACCGGCTGTGACTTTATTTTGATACAGTTATATTAAATAAACATATTTTTATACTCTAAAAGCCAAATATTACCATTATAAGTGATAGCTAAAAAATAAAAGATAATTGAGTAGACCCTGTATAAACCTGAAGGCAGGGAGTGAAGACATTCGTATCTGCGCAGGCAGGTAGAAGAACACACTGAGTGTGAGGTGGCCCGATACTTGCTGCCCGGGATGAGTCTAAGCACACCTGTCTCATGGTGCTGGCTCATCTAGTGCTTGTGTTCATGACTAGCTAAGATCTAATGTAATCTGGTTAGTTAATAATAGGGTTTTGCAAGAAACCCAATTTTTCTGACTCCAAATCCAGTGTACTGTCCACTACTTCATTCCAAGTTTTAATCAGGAAAACCACAGAGTTGTAATATAATTTAAGCTTGGAAGATAGCAAGCCTCCAATTAATGCTTGAATAAAATTATCTTAGGCTCTATTAGCATGTCTTATAGAGTTAAGAAGCATCTGAAGGGCTTTGGGGGAAAAAAGCAATTTCAAAAAAGTATTGATTAAATCATATATTTTTTAAGGAAGCTCCTGTGTCATGAGGGATTTAAAATATCAGGCAAATAATCTGACCTGCCTAAGCCAATGGCACTTAATTAAGAAAGTAAGTTCTGCCTATCAGCATTATTTTCCTTAATTGTTATGACTGTTTCTGTATGAGCACAACTGGCCAAATCTAGATATCACAGCTTTCTCCCATAATATATAATTCCCCAGAGCATTACATTTAGAACCTCAAAGGGTATAGGAATTGTGTTTGAGAGCCTTGATATGTTCTGGGAAGAGAAAGGAGGATGGAGTGAGGTTGCACATGAATTTCCAGTTCCTCTCCAAACAATGGAAAATAAAATAAACACCACATAAATTTTATAATTGCCATAATAAAACATAAATATATAACATCAACTAAAGAGAGTATCAGTTATAGTTGTATGACTTCTGAAATGTGGGAATAGAAAAATTAATTTCCATCTACAGTCTCTACCAACACAATTTGTCTTTTTATGAACAGCTAAGTATTCACAAATTTAGGGATAATACAGCTTCCTTGATTATGATCATAGTCTCTGGATCAGACTGCTCTGGTTTGAATCCCAGATGCACTACTTGCTACCTACATGACTTTAAGCAATTATCTGATTTTTCTAAGTTTCAGTTTTACCCCTTGTCATATGGAGATTACCACAGATACTAACTCTTGGATTATTGGGAGGATCTAGCATAAGTAAACCCTGTAAAGGATCTAGCTAAGTGCTGAGATAGGATAAGTGGCCTTGCATTAGATAATATTGTTACTATTAATAAATTTATCTTCCTAAAATTTGTTTTGTCTTGGATACCTGGATGACCAACTGGATAGAAGAAAGAATAAAATGACGTAGTCTATACATTATGACTAAGCAAAATTCTGAGACCATGTTGCATTGTGGAAATGACACACCGTAGAGCCCTCTCCTCTTTAGAATTTGATGAGAGAGCATAGTAATTACAGTCTCATCATAGTGACAATACTTTGATAAGTAAAAGTGTTTAACAATTTACATAGGGATGTCTTATATCAATGTAGGATAGGTTCTTTGAGAGAAGTGACAGTGTCTGTGTTCACTACTGTATCCTCATGGAGTAGGCACTCAGTAAGTGTTCTCAATAAATTACTGAGTTTGCACTTGAAAACTCTCTCAACGAAGGGATGTCAAGTTCGATCAGGATTTACTTCTTTACAACACCAACCTAGTGACCAATTATTAGTGTTATGTTTGTCTTAAGAGATCAGGTTGCCATGGTAAAAATAATATGAACCAGAAGGGTTTAGACAACAGGAATGTCTTCCTTACAGTTCTGTAGCCTGGGGAGTCCAGAATTAAGGTGCTAGCTGATTTATTTCCCTGGCAAGAGCTGCCCTCCTGGCTTGCAGGTGGCAAGTTTCTTGCTGTGTCCTCACAGGACAGAGAGAGAGAGAGGAAACAAAGGTCTCTGGTGTCTCTTCTTACATTGGCACTAATCTCACCATGAGGGCTACACCCTCATGACCTCATCTAAACCCTATTACCTCCCCAAAGCCCTATCTCCAAGTATCCCAACAAAATACTACAAATTGAGTGACTTAAACAACAGAAATCTATTTTTTCACAGTCCGAGAGGTTGGAAGTCCAAGGTCAAGGTGCCAGCAAGGTTAGTTTCTCCTGGGGCCTCTCTCCTTGGCTTGAGGATGTGCCTTTTAGTTGAGTCCTCACAAGGCCCTTCCTCTGTGCATGCGAATCCCTGGTGTCTCTGTCTCTTCTTATACGAACACCAGTCATGCTGGATTAGGGCCACTGTCACAGCCGCATTGAAACTCAGTGACCTCTTCAAACACCTCATCTCTAAATAGGACTACACAATGTGGGTAGGAAGTTTAATACCTGACCTTGGGGTGATGCGATTCAGCTCATAACAGATATAATTTCAACTTTTCCTACTCCCCTACCCACAAATAATATAAAGCCAGTACCCACCCTTAAATTTCACATACATACCATTTTTACGGTTTCCATGATATTTATCTAAAATTTCCTGATCTGAGGAAAATATTTTATTTCCATGCTATTTCTTTCACCTTGTATGCATTGATGAAAAACTACTTTGGATTATCTTAATGAGTATCTCTAGTAGTCATTTCATACCACACAAATGTATTGCGTTCTTAAAATATTCAGAGTACTATTCTAGGTGCTGAGACTATGGCAATAAACAAAAAGATGAATAAGACTCTAAAATTTTAAAATATGTATTGCATTGGTTATTTAAAAATCCTCAATTTCATTATTCTAATTTATATGATATTGACATTAGAAAATTGTTTAATTTCCTTAAGTCTTTGGTTCTTCTTAGTTACAAATGGTATTATCATTTTCTGAATGTTGAGGTTGGGGTGATATGAAGATGAAATGAAATAAAATGATGTATCTAGGATTGTGATGATGAATACAGATCTGTAGCCCAACTAAGACATTACATTATTTTCATTAGACCAGAGTCAGAAATAATTTTTGAAAAACAAGATTTCAGCAAGGTCACATAGCCTCTGAAATTGTGCTTTCCCTGGAGACATTTGTCTTTTCCTTGGGCTTTAAGAACCACATGTCTCAGGTACAGAAATCAAAATCTGATACCCAAGAAATACAGAAGATAAGTTGTAAGAGCCCATCTGAATCTACAGCACTATAAAGAACTAGAAGGAGCTGGAGAGACAAGAGACAATGAAAAAGGCAATATCTGAAGATGTAATGGAAGAATATTTTCTGGAATTAATTGTAAAAATCTAAGAATTAGAAATTTCAAACATGATGAAAAGTTACTCAAAATATACAAATAAGACTAAATACTAAACACAAATAACAAAAATAATTTCTATGAAACAGCTAAATGGAAGAAAAAGTTACCATTAAAATAACAACCTGATTCTCAAAATTAACTATGACAACTAAAAACAATTTCACAAATATATTCAATAAAAGTTACCTGTGTACACTATGAAATTATTTAAAAATAGTAATAAAAAAACATACCTAACTAGAAATAAGCACTATCTGGGTAATAGGCACACTTAAAACTCTGACTTAAGCATTATAAAAGTAAGCCATTAACCAAAATTATATGTACCCCCATAATATTTTGAAATTAAAAAAATAAATAAATAAAAATTAAAAAGAAAAATAGCAATAAAATAAGGTCAAATTCAGGTAAACAGAAACATTATTTTTCTGATGGATCCTCACTCAAAAACATTCTGAAAGGATATATCCAAAAAATAAATTATAAAAGAAAGATCTAAAGTATTAGCATATGATATCTAAACAATGATTTATAAAAAATTACATAATTTATGGATTTAAAGTATATCTTTAATACCAAAGTAATGGGCAACAATAGTTTATATGTCCAGAGGAAAAGGAATGATAATTTTTTAAACAACTTAAAACATACAGAAGAAAGTATGTTTTGATTAATTTTTAATTTTATTAATTGAAATATGTATGCATTTTTTCAAGGTAAAATGCTGAAGGAATAATGATAAAACATAAAACTCCCAAACAGTAGAAGGATAAAATGGAATATTTTTCACAACAGCAAATCTGAATGCAAGAAAGAAAGAGAAACACAAAATTAAGAATTAGGGGAAAAACACAAACTAAAATGATACAAAATATATCTGTAATCACAGCAAATATAACTATAACAAAATAGGCAATTTCACTTTAAGTAATGAGAAATAACTTGTAGCAGATCAAAGTTGTGCCAGGAAGATAAGAAATACTACACAAAATGCACAGAAACTTGTTTGAAAGCAACAAATAACTACCAAGGCAGCCAGGACTTGAGCCAAGAGAGCAGAAGGCATTGAGTAATAGAGTCATGACTCAGCCGTTACCTAGACTGCTTTGTCACTCTGGACATTTGAAACTTCAGAGCAGGCCAGAGGGTCAATTAAGATGATAAGCAAGTGATCAATTAGAGGCTGGCAACCCAGACAGAACTGTGAGGAATTCCATGATACTGGGAGGTAAAGATTGGACACAGATCTATCAGAGGAGGACAGTCCCGATAAACACCCCAGGATTCAGTTGGAATCTCTGAAAGAATGTGGTCTAGAAGTAAGGGGAGGTATGCCAAGTGTTACACAGACAAGAACCCAACCTCCAAAGAGTTTGATCCCTGACTGCATTCATACAATCTGCACTTAATTTTTCTACTGTAAACTAAAAAAAAAAAAAAAATGCTTTCTGGAAGAAGATATGCAGACCTATATAGTTTATTTATGGGAAATATAGAAGATTATATAAAACATTATGTGATACACTGAGCGGCAAGAGAAAGAGAAAAATTCCAAATGGTCTAGTGATTAAAGGTATCAGAGACTTAAAAATAATCATGATTAAAATGTTCAAAGCAAAACAATGGAGAAAGATGAAGAAGAATTCCATAGATCATTGGAATCTCTCAAAGAGAAACAAATGAATATTCTAAAACAAATTA